TAGTTAATTATACAGTGGAGCCTTGACTTACGAGTTTAATTCGTTCCCTGACGGAGCTCATAACTCAAATTACTCGTATGTCAAATCAAAAAGTGAACGAGTGAGACATGTGATGCTGGGCTGATGTTGTGGCTTCACTGTGACATTCGCTGCGCCAACTAGCAGTGGGGTATCTGAAGCTGGCTCATAACCCGAATTGGCTCGCGACTCAAAGCAAAAAATGGGCCAAGAGATGGTTCATATCTCGAAAAACTCGTTAGTCAGGACACTCGTAAGTCAAGGCCCCACTGTATTGTAATAACTATGTATGGTGCCAGGTGGGTGCTGAAAATACTGGGGTGGGGGGAGCACTTTGTAAAGTATTTGATGGTCTTACCACTAGGCTGTGCACCTGAAACTAACAGAAATAATATTGAATATAAACTGCAATTGAAAAAAATCTACAACATAAAAAATAATATAAAGTTAGTTAAGTTCTGACACAGAAAGCAAAATGCTATTAGAGTTCAGGAAAGTTACAACTTTTTCCTGTGCCTCCATTGCCGCTCCCCCATGTCTCCCCTCCTAGTTAAAATCTGTTAATATTCTACTTATCCTTTAAGATTGAGCTCAAATCTTTCTTCTCTGTGAAGTTTTTATGAATGTTTTCTGTTTGATCTTCCCCCATTTGATCTTCCCTGGTCCTGATATGCCTTTCATAGTATTTGTTGCAATTCACCACAAGACTATACATACCTATAGATTAGGAGTTGTGTCCTTTCCATTTTCCGTACCCTCACACAGTTCTTGAATGGTGTATGGCCATGGTCGGCAAACTGCGGCTCACGAGCCACATGCGGCTCTTTGGCCCCTTGAGTGTGGCTCTTCCTAAGCCTTAGGAGTACCCTAATTAAGTTAATAACAGTGTACCTACCTATATAGTTTAAGTTTAAAAAATTTGGCTCTCAAAAGAAATTTCAATCTTTGTACTGTTGATATTTGGCTCTGTTGACTAATGAGTTTGCCGACCACTGGTATGGGATGGACATACTCGTCCTTAGTTAGTCAAGACATCCCCCCAATCACACCCCACATCTTACCACATGATGTATTTCCTCTCGCTCTTTACCTATTTGTCATGATAGGTTGCCATAACTGCCATTATGCCATTGAAATGTTGCTCTCCTGCTTAACTTCTCTTTTGAATTCAGAATGAGGAACTCATGGATCAACTAAATGGATAATTTGTCTTCTAGTCAGACAAGTGTTTGCTTCATAGTGAAAATCCACTTACTGTTAAGTGATTTCTTGCATTTGGAAATATTTTTTTTTATTCTTTTGGTATCCAGATCTGTGTTCCAATTTTTTCTGGATTCCAAATAAATGATTTTGAAATTATAAGGTAATTTTCAGGCTTCATTTTCAGGAATAGTTTATTGTGTTTAAAATATTCCATGTGTCTCAGGTCTATGTGCTGAAGGGCCTAGAGATATATCTGCTTATAAGAAACAGAGAGAGCTCATCACACACTACAGGCCAAAGTTAATGGTTCAACAGTGCCCTAAAGCCACCCCCACCACAAAGCTCAGAATGTAAAATATTTCCTCATTTCCTTTTCTTGCATGCTATATAGGCCTGATAGCTTTGAAATAGACTTTTTAATTTCTTTAGGTTAAAACTAGCTATGGGGGCCAAATATTTGGTGATTAAAGATAACTTGACTATGGGTGGTGGATACCCAATTCAATATACAGATCATATATCATGGAAATATACACTTCAAAGCTATATGATCTTATTAATAAATGTCATCCCAGAAGAGATGATGTGGTATGTGTAACTGTATGTCTCAGTATAATTTTTCCAGCCTCAACTAACTGCTGAGCAGAGGTGTTTATTCTTAGTTAAGAAGCTAGTTAAAGCTTTGGCTCAATGGATAGAACATCGGCCTGTGTAATGAAGGGTCCCAGGTTCGATTCTGGCCAAGGGCACATGCTGGGTCCGGGTGCCTGCATTGGCCCCAGTCAGTGCTGGGTCACCACAGCAACCCATCACTGACTTCCAGTCTGGTTGAGCCTTCAGTGGTAACGGTTGTTATGACCCTGGCTCTTTATTATATAGACTAGAGGCCCAGTGCACAAAAATTTGTGCACTCGGCGGGGGGGTGGAGGGGTCCCTCACCCAGCCTGTGCCCTCTCACAGTCTGGGACCCCTCAGGGGATGACCACCTGCTGGCTTAGGCCTGCTCCCCAGAGGCCTAAGATGGCAATCAGACATCCCTCTGGCAGCCTGGCAGCCCTCGGGGGATGTCCACTTGCCAGCGGGGAGCAGGCCTAAACTGCAGTTGGACATCCTTAGCACTGCTGAGGAGGCAGGAGAGGCTCCCACCACCACCACTGTACTGGCAACCATCAGCCTGGCTTGTTGCTGAGCAGAGCGCCTCCCATGTGAGAGCGACCTGACCACCAGAGGGCAGCTCCTGCATTGAGAGTCTGCCCCCTGGTGGTCAGTTTGTGTCATAGTTACCAGTCATTCCCAGTCTTTCTGCTGTTAGGGTCAGTTTTCATATTACCGTTTTACTATATAGGATAGAGGTCTGGTGCACAGGTGGGGGCCGGCTGGTTTGCCCTGAAGGGTGTCCCGGATCAGGGTGGAGGTCCCGCTTGGGTGCCTGGCCAGCCTGGATGAGGGGATGATGGCTGTTTGCAGCTGGTCTTACCCCCTTCAGGGTGGGGGTCCCCACTGGGATGCCTGGCCAGTCTGGGTGAGGGGCTGAGGGCCGTTTTCAGGCTGGCGGGTGACTGAAGCTCCCAACCTCTCCTTTTTTTCTTTTTTTTTTTTTATTCTGGGATTTATTTACCTTCTATGGCTGTCACTGGAACTGAGAGCCGGCTTTAGCTCCGAAGCTCGGCTCCAGCTCTGAGACCTCGGCTGCTGAAAGCAGGTATCTGGGTTTGTTTGGGTTCTATAATTGTAACAGTGTTGTGGTCCTGCTCGCTCCAGCTCTGACCGCTGAAAGCAGGTTTCTGGGGTTTGTTTAGGTTCTATAAGTGCAACATTGTTTCTTAGAGTGCAAGTTCAGAGGCCGGCAGCAGCAGGTGGGGAACCTTGGCTTCCTCCATCACTGGAGCAAGCAAGTCTCCTGTTCGCTTCTGCTGCCTGGCTGCCGGCCGCCATCTTGGCTGGCAGTTAATTTGCATATCTCACTGATTAGCCAATGGGAAAGGTAGCAAAGTTACAGTTCATTACCATGTTTCTCTATTATTAGATAGGATTATATAGGATTATTTTTTTATTTTTTTAATATATTTTTTATTGATTTCAGAGTGGAAGGGAGAGGAATAGAGAGATGGAAACATCAATGAGAGAATCATTGGTCAGCTGCCTCCAGCCCGACCCCTACTGGGGATCGAGCCTGCAGTGGGACCCCCACCCCCACCCCAGTGCAGAATTTTCATGCACCGTCCTCTAGTAATAATAATAAAAATAAATAAATAAGAAGTTAGTTAAAGATCTTTACTGAGCTATCTAAAAAACTGAGTTTTAGCTCTGCACTGTGTTATCTGGAATATCTCTTTATTTTTCTATCTCATTTTTTTCTACTTGTAAAACTATAACATATTTAGTCTGATTTGTCTACTTAACAAGGATTTAAGAAAAGCTAACAAATGAGAGAAATAACTTTGAACTGTTTAAATAGAAGGTATCACAAAACTCAAATAGAATTCTAAAGATAGTCTAAACTTGATTTAAACCAAATCTGACATAAATTCATTATGAATACAGTCCTTGTGGCCTTATACTTTGTGATAACCTAAGAGTATTGAAACCATTGGCTGATGTGACAAGTGTCTAGAAGCACTTTTATCAAAACAGGATAAATTGTATTTAGAAAATCACTTAACTGAGCATATATCAGCTTCCTTGTGATGATAACCCACATGAATCATCTTTTTAGTGCTATTCTTAAAAGACATATTTCCTGTTGCAAAGAATTACAAAATGTACCACTTTGTGTAACTGTCATATTTCAAAACACATGCTCCAGGAATTGAAGCAAGAAAACCTTAAGTATACGAGAATTAAAGTTAAGTATCTGAATATAGGAAGTTGAGAGTACAAACCAGTAACAGACTCACATAATTTTAAAGATCTAAGGGAACTTAGAGATATTTAATCCTTTTTGTCATATTTGAATTATTTTTAATATATATTTTTATTGATTTCAGAGAGGAAGGGAGAGGGAGAGAGAGAGAGAGACAACCAATAATGAGAGAGAATCATTGATCAGCTGCATGTCCCACACAGGGGATGGAGCCCGCAATCCCAGCATGTACCCTAATCGAGAATCGAAACATGATCTCCCAGTTCATAGGTCAACACTCAACCACTGAGCCATGCCGGTTGGGCTGAATTATTGGTAAGACTCATAAAAAATACATTTTGTTTTTAGATCTGGAGTCTGTAATACCCAATTTCAGCACATAGGAAAAATAGAAGAAAAATAACAAAATTTTTGTACATGACCAATATAGTGCTGCAACAGAGTGATCAAGAATGCCAAAATCAGACATCTAAATTAAACCTAGTTTTCAAGCAGAGTGACTGGATTCCTGAGTTAATATAAATAGTGAAGAAATGTAGAAAAAATGAAAAATAATTGTGTGTTCTTTTAAATAGTAGAGCAAACAGTTAAGTTACCTTCGTTGTTTTTCAATACTTTAACCTTGCTTCACTGTTAATATGAGATTCCCAGAATCCAAATACTGGATGGTGAGACAGGAAGCTGGTGCTCTTGAATTTATATCTCAGTTCAGAACTTTAATTTTCTTTTGAAGAAAAGATAATGGAACTTAATCTTTGTAGAAACATTGTCAAATAGTTGAGCAGAATAGCTTAGTAAAGGGTGCAGCCAGCAAAGATATTTGTATATTTTGTGCAAAATTACCTATGTGCATGTGCTTGTATGTTTTGTATGCATGTATCTAAATAGAAAACATCTTTTCTTTTACTTCTTATAGGGATGTCAAAAAGTACAGGACTTTCATAATGTGGTACCTGAAGGCATGAACTTGAGTTTTCTCTTAGCCTTGTTTTCAAATAATGGAAATTACACATGCGTTGTTACATATCCAGAAAATGGGCGTGCATTCAATCTCACCAGGACTCTGGCTGTAAAGGTGGTAGGTAAGCATGATTTGTATTATGTGTGCAGGATAAAAATGAAATAATCTTGTTTTTTTTTCCTGTTAATAGTTTATTAAAAACAAGTGTATAAAGTCTTTGAGAAAAAAAAGAGCTTATTTTTTTTTGCTTGTTTGTTTATTGCACTCTCCCCAGAGCCTCTAGCATTTCCACATACATAGTGGGCATTTGGTAACTATTGGTCTCTTGAGTGACTATGTGAATAAGTGAAGTAAAGGCAGTGAAAGGAATACCAGACAGATCTGTGTCCAAACTATGCTACTGCCATTGAAGAGCAACATGATTTTGCTCAAAGTCTCAGCCTCCTCATCTGTACTCTGGGACTTAGATTACCTACCATTCAGGATAGCTGAGAATATTAGACATAATATACAGGCAAACCGTGGAGACTGAATAGTAATGAAGAGTAATTAATATCATTGTCCACAATCTGTTTTAATAGAATGAAATAAACTATGAATTTCTATGTACTGCTGTTGTAGTTAATGCTCAAGGTATTTGCATGCAGTGTTCAACCACTGGTTTGAACTGAAAGAAGAGGGGATGGGAAACTGGGGAAGTGACCGGACAATGTCTACAGACTCCTGTGAAACCCACAACCAAGAGAACCAGTGTCAGGATATGTGGTATTTAGAGCAGAACCCTAAATACCACTGTGCCCACTGTATTAAAATTAGAGAATATCAGAGTGAGATTTTATGAAACCCCATTTTTTTAAAGAAAAAGGCAATTTATTATCTTTTTTTAATTTCTGTAAATCATTGGTATAAGGTATTTGCACATTTTAGGGGGGGTGGGGGATGAAAATCCTATCTTTTAATAGATGGAAACATTGAGGCCCAACAACAGAAAGCAAACTGCTTAGTTAGAGACGTTCAGTGCATTGGTAGAAGAAGTGATTCTAAAGCCCAGGTTTTTTACTTTTTGTTTAAGGCTTTTTCTACCAGTCTGACACCAGATTCAGCTTATGTATTTCTTTAAAACAAATTTAACATAGTGCAAATAAAATTCAAATAAAACACTTTTGTAACCACTTTCTTTCTCTGCTTACTTTCTGAATAGTGCTGAGTTGGGAACTAATTCAGAAGAAAAATCAGACTAAATTTGGAGCCTAACAAGAATGGACTTTAAAAGTCAAATGAATAATCTAACCTTATATTCATGTTGGCAGTTGTTCCTAATATATATATTTAAATGCAGTGGGTGCTTTAATATGCATCACTTAATTAATATGCAGCACAACAATACCCCCCAAATTAAGATAATTTAACTTAATTTAATTCTTATAATGAACCTATAAAATGAGTTTAATTACTCTCATTTTAGAGATGAGGAAAATTAGCTTTTCGAAGATTTATTAAAAAACAGTCATGTGGTTAGTAAATGACCAAGTTGGGATTAGAACACCTATTGGTCATAAAATCTTTGAAGCTTCTACTCTTAAATAATACAATATAAATCTCCTTCAGGATATTTTTCATTCAATTTAGGAATACTGAATGCTATAAAGAGCATTGATCCTATGAATGAACCTTTAACTGATAACTGGACATCAGGTACCCTTAGGGGCTGGACTCATCATTGTGATTTTGGATTTTCCATATACTCATTCATTCATTAATACTTACTTAATTAGGTCTTATACTAGACACTCTGGGAATGTTGAAGAGAAATATGTAGAAAAGAAACAATTGAGCAAAACAGGAGAGCAATTAATTATGATGTAGTCTGACAAGACTATATCTCATGTAAGCTTTGGAAAGTGAAAACACTGGTTAAGCATTCTATTCTGAAATATGGCGGATAATCAACGTATTATGTTTGTTTCTTTGTTTTGTTTTGTATAATCCACTCTATAGTGAATATATTCCATCTCAGATGCATAATGTAGAATTTCTACGTGTAAATTGTCTTCAGACTTATTGACTGCAATTCTTCTCAAGAAGAATTGACAAACCATGCCAGAAGGTTGGGCAAGGCTTCACAGAAGATAATATTTTTGAAGTAGGTTAACAGGGATAAAGACTTCATGACTTAACATCATCTCCCATTGTTCTTTGCTCTCTCACAGGCTCTCCATACTCTGCATTGCCCCCCCAGATCCACTTACCCAATGATCTTGTGGTCTATGAGAAAGAACCAGGTAATTACAGCTGTGGACTCTGAATTTCAGTTAGAGTTAGATTATCTTAATTATAAGGAATAAAATGCCACAGAAGTTAACACAAGAGAAGAGAGGGCTATGGTAAAAAAACGAAACAAAACAAAACAAAAACATCCAACCAAACAAACAAAAAACCACAGGCATTGAAATTGATGTTGTCAGAAATCATGGTAGCTCCATGCATTAGCTACCTCCTGGATCTCATGAGGAGCTCAGGGGTTCTCTGCTTCTCTCTCAGCAGCTGCTGCTGTCTTCTTCCTCTGCAGGCAGGTCCAACCCCCGCCTTCCCGAGGAGGGATTTCTCTTTGATGTAAACTGGAGCTTGCATAGGGTTTTGGTTTGCCATGCCTGCAGCATGAGCACAAGCTTCCTTCAAGCTTCTGTTCCACTACAAAGTGGCAGGGTTAAAGCTTGCAGTCAGAACGGAATATAATAGGTAACATCTGATACAACCAATAAGTCCTGATTCAGAACACTACGGAATATTTGCTATGGTCATCTGGGTCTCTTTTTAGTTTTCAGATTTTTTTCATTCCAGGGAAATATCACTTGTAACTGATCAAATAAGGTATGATTTATTTATTATTCTTCTGACTCAGAGCCTCCCACAGGTAAGCTGGAAACTGCAGAAAATTTTTAACATTTTCTGAATTGTATCTTTTACGAAAATTCAAAACAAACACCCAGTGAGAGTGATAAAAGAACATCTGTTTAAAACGTACTAAAGTTAATAGAGGCAGTGACCAACATAGGTAGAGAACAACAGTACCCCCCATATTAAGATAAGGTTTCAAGTAGTGGTGTGCCTTGTAAAAACACAAAGAACACAGCCCCAAATCGACCAAATTTTCTTGATTTAGTACTGACTTCCTGTAGTAATATAAACATTCTTCCTGCAATCGGGGTAAACACTTATTAATCATCTAGATATATTCCATATACTCATCACATTATGGTTGCAAAAGCATGCCTGAATCCAATGTCACTTTATCTTCTATACTATATTGATATAGAAAACTGGAGAGGAAGGCATAAAACCACACATTGGAAGAGAGGACGGAGTATGAGCACTAAGGGAGATAAACCTGGGTTCAAATCAGGATGACAATATAATTTATCATTTCAACCTGGACACCTTTTGATAGTGAAAGCAGTTGGTATTAATAACTAGGAAAGCAAGCATACAACAGAACTGTCCTGGGCATCTAGGAATAGAAGGTCATTCTAGGTCAAAATTCTGGTCTGCTACTTATTAACAATTTGATCGAGGCATGGCATTTGACATGTTGAAGGTTCAGTTTTCACATCTGTAAAACAGGCATTTTAAAAATGCCTCCTAAAGGGCTGGAGCCCAGGAGCTCAGCACTGCTGCTCACCATGGGGGACCTGCTGCAAGCCACTGCCTGCCTGGAGCCCTCCGTCAGTGAGCAGGAACTGCTTTGGTACAAGCGCATCCAGTGCAAGTTTGCCACCTGCTACGGTCCTCCTGCAGTCTGGGACCCAACCCCACCCACAGCGGCTACAGCTACCTGGGTATCCCTAAAAACCTGAGAGAGCAAAGGGCTTGGTCTCAGGCTGCCATCAACTCACCTGAAGGCTGCCTGCCTCCAGGATATCCCCTGGGTGCCAAAGGGGGTGGGGGAGGCCTGAGAGAATTCAAGAAGCATCCCCTGTCCATTTTTCCAGGTCAACTCCAACACTAAGGCCCATCTGCTCAGGAAGAGGGGGGGGGGCGGGGGAGGGCCTGGAGCTCTGGGAATTGGGCCCTGAGGGGGCCTGGTTGATAGCTAAAAATAGTGTATGCTGCCCTCTGGAAAATTAATTAATTAATTAAAATAAATAAAAAATGCCTCCTAGTAGTCTGTTAAAATTTAATGATAACATTAATAAGTAAAACTATTTAGCCTAGTAAATTATAAAAAATTCTCAGTGAGTGTTCTGCTTATTATTTTTATTATTATTACTTCTATTACCATTTCTGCCTAGAAATCCCCCAACCTCATATTCCATCTCAGAAGGATAATGTAGAATTTCTACATGTAAATTGTCTTCAGACTTACTGGCTGCCCCAGGATAACTGAAGCATGTCCCGGTGAGGCCTGTCCAGACAGTCCCCTCAGCTTCGGCCCCATCCCATCGCCTCTGGGCCAAGGACCAAAGATCTGGACAACGTTTTCTTAGTCATCCTTTGCTTCTGAGTGATTTAACAAAGGAGAGTAGTCCATAGAGGGTTAGGGCTAAAAAGGATGTTATCAGAGCCTTTTTGAACAAATACATTTTAAAATATATGTAGATTGTATTAAAAGATGGCCATTCTCATAATTTTATAAAAGATGCTTTGCTTCTTTTCTTGGTTTGTTTATTTTGCAGTGAAGTATGGCACATCACCTAATGGTAGCCCACTAGAGAATTAGTGAGAAGTAGGGTTATAGATACATGTAACATTTGTAGCTTCTGATTAGTCAGAGTAGAACCAATATAGCCATGCGAAGGTTACAAACTAAAGGGTTAACTTGTTTATTTGTTTTAGGAGAGGAGCTGCTCATTCCCTGTAAAGTCTTTTTCACTTACCTGAAGGACTCTCGCAATGAGGTCTGGTGGACCATTGATGGGAAAAAGACAGATGACACCACTATTGACGTAACTGTTGATGAAAGGTATCACTGGTGGAGGCAAGGGGGTGACTAAGGCTGTCCCTGACTAATGCACTCTGCTGTGTACTAATCAATGAAAATAAAAATTCTAATTTTTGCCTCACTAACAAAAATCAGCAAGATTTTCACTGCATCCCAAGACAGGATTCCTGGATTTGTAATTGGAAGCCCAGGTGCCATCTGATGATCACACATTTATGATACCTACTTGAAAGTAGCATATCCTATATGAGTGAAAAGGTCACAATATAAGATTATAGAGAGATGGAATCCTGCCATTGTGGCCCTGTTCTCTTTCTCAGGTCTGGAGTCTGGGCCTGCAAGCCTTTGTGCCTGAGATCATTGTGTTCATTTCTAGTCTTGCAGTAAGCATGTATTTCTCTCTTTCTTGTTCTCTTTCTTAATTCACATAACACATATGTCCCATTTATCACTGATAGTGATTTTTTTTTTCATATTGACTCAATACATTCATGATCTCTCTAGATTTTATTTTTAAAGTAGAGGGGGTGGCAATATATACTTCACTCTTAAAATAACATGCTGGGTCACTGTGTTTCAAAATAAAATGACTTTTTAAAAAGGGAGTTGGGTTGTCAAGGAGGAAAATATGGGTCTTTGAAGACAAAGGATCCCCCCACAATGAAGTATACAACTACAGAGGGCAATTGGTTCACTGCAACACTGAATAAAAATTAGTAGCAAACCAACTACAGACAAAGTAGTTCTAAGACCATAAGCCTTATCACCAACGTGTAACTAGATCTTCAGCTACTAAAACTTCTAGAATTCAAAATATCTTTTTTTTTCCCTAGTAGTAAACTTAGACTTTGTACGGATATTATAAAATGCTTTCATTGCCTCAGGTACCTGAGTAGATTCTATAGGAGTAACAATGATAGAGCAGAAAGTTCAATACTTTAATCTGATACATGCAGCAGCTGGGAGGTATGACATGGTATGGGAAGATTGAGTTGGGGAGTCCAATCCATTTTGGGGGATTAGGTAATGCTTCTCAGATCTCACCGTACCTAAAAAAATACTTGAAAAATGAGTAGAAATAAACTAGGTAAAGACATCTAAAGAATGTTCCTGGTAAAAAAAACATCATGTGCAAATGCCTGGTGGTGAGAGCAGCAGAACACATTTAAAGGTGCTGAAGGAGCTTGCTGAGATGGGAGCAGTGTTGGCAGAAGGAATGGATGAAAGACGTGGCTAGAAGTATAGAGGGAGAATTACTGATCACCTGAGGAATTCTGAGGATTGTGCTTTTGTCATAATGATTGAATAATAATGAAAGTCATGATGTTCCTCCTTGCTGCTATTAAAACACGGCTCACTGTATACAGTTGAGCAGTGCATTAAACTTGGGCTAAACCCACTACAGTTTTTAACCAAGTTCCCATGACTGACACTAAACGTTTTCAGAAGGAGAACCTGGCTATTGGTCAGTTTTAATAACTTTTTTTTTTTTACTTTTTGAAAAAGTAGTTCAAAGGGATTTTAAATCTTGGTTTTAGAACCAAAATACTTGATCTCTGGCTTGCTTAGATTTAAATATATTTATGCTCACAAGGTTTACTTACTCAGTAGTTTCATTCATATATATATATGTGTATATGTGTGTGTGTGTGTGTATATAACACATATGTGTATATGTGTTATATATCTCCTATATAATAAAGAGGTAATAGGCAAATTGACCATCACTCCGACACACAGATGGCCACCACAAGATGGCCGGCAGAGGAGGGCAGTTGGGGATGACCAGGCTGGCAGGGGAGGGCAGTTGGGGATGACCAGGCTGGCAGGGGAGGGCAGTTGGGGGTGACCAGGCTGGCAGGGGAGAGCAGTTGGGGGTGACCAGGCCAGCAGGGGAGAACAGTTAGGGGTGACCAAGCCGGCAAGAGAGGGCAGTTGGGGGCAATCGGGCTGGAAGGGGAGCAGTTAGGCATCTATCAGGCTGGCAGGGGAGTGGTTAGTGGTGGTCAGGCTGGCAGGAAGAAGCGGTTAGGGGCAATCAAGCAGGCAGGCAGATGAGTGGTTGGGAGCCAGAGGTCCTGGATTGTGAGAGGGATGTCCCAGATTGAATAGGGTGAAATCTGGGCTGAGGGACACCCCCCACCATGCACAAATTTCATGCTCCTTCACCCTCTCGCGATCCAGGATCCCGCAGGGGATGTCCGACTGCCCCTGCTGGATTGGTCCTAAACCGGCAGTCGGACATCCCTCTTGCAATCTGGGACTGCTGGCTCCTAACCACTCGCCTGCCTGCTGATTTCCCCTAACCTCTCTGCCTGGCTGATCGCCCCTAACCACCTCTGCCTTGGCTCCTGCACCCAGGACCCAGACTTCCCTCCTCCAGCCAGCCTCAGGCACCCAGGACCCTGGGCGGTGCCACTCAGGCCTGGCTTTGTCAGGAAGGATGTCCAGAATGACGTACGGAAGACGTCCAGTCTATCTGGTCTAATTAGCATATTACCCTTTTATTAGTATAGATGATTTAACCAGGAGATTTTGGCATTTTGACTGAAATAGTCTGCTTGGATTAAAAATCAAAGCTTTGGTGATCCATGAAATGCATAAGTTATTACCGAGGGATCATAATAGCCTATATGAATAATATGAATATTTATTAAGTATTGTCCTAATACTTGCACATTAATATACTCAACCCTCAGATTTCTTAACTTAATGAATCTAATGCACTGTGTAAGCATTGCCACTTTCCTCTTTTATAAATGACCACCTCAAAACATGGAGAAATTAGTTACTCTGCCAAAAGGATTCAGCCAATAAGTGGCAAAGCCTGAATCAAAACCCAAATGGGTCTAGCATCAGAAGCTTCTCTCTAAGCCAATATAGATAGCATTCTGCCTTGGAAGTTTTAGGCAAGGAGACATTCTGCTTTGAAAGAGTTAGAGAGAGCTACATCTATAGTGTGATGCCAACACTGGGAGTTGACCTAGGTGTTGGGATTGTGTCTAGTATAGATGGTAAGGAATAGTACTGTAATCCAGAAGCTTTTGCAACGTTGGATTCCAAGGCAATGCAGTTTATGGCCATTCTATCTGCCCTCACCTAGTGGCTCTCTGTTGTCTGCTTGACTGATTTACACACAACACAAGGCCCTTGAGTCTCACTAATGCTCTAATTTTCTTTCCCCTCTTTCCAGTGTGAGTGTGGCTGCTCTGGAAGATGAAACAAGAACTATGACTCTGAGCATCAAGAAAGTTAGTGCTGAAGATCTCAAACGCAACTATGTTTGTCATGCTAGAAATGGCAAAGGGGAGGTTGAGCAGCCAGCCAAGGTGAAACAGAAAGGTAATGGATGCATGCCCTCAGCGGAGGAATCTGGGAACTCTGATGTAACGTTTTGGTGACCAAGGAAAGGAGAAGACATTGAAAACCTGGGCACCAGCACTTACCACAACATCTACCACATAGTCATGAATCAAAGTTGAATGAAAAATCTTGAGGGAAATTTCCATCTATGCAAATATATTCAAAATAATTTTAGTAATTAATGCCTGAATGTGGCTAAAAAAATATCCATGTTTATGATAATGAGGCATAATTTCCTATCTATATAATTATGAAAATGAAAAATAAAGGAAATATTTAAGGCTACCAAAGATATAATAAAAGAGTCACATGTTGTTAGTGAATTATAAAAACCCTTTTAGAAATCATTGCTGGCAGAGTTTAAGAGTCATAAAAATGATCATATTCTATGACTTAGTGTTTTTGGAATTTTTCATGAATAAATAACACAAAGAATTATGGCCCCAATCAATATTCTTAGCATTAGCTATAATAATGAAACATAAGTAGCAACCATCTACTAGTAATTGTATGCAAGTAAAGTGAAATGTTAAATATTTATTATCGGAAATATAATTTTAAAATGATCACTTTAAGCACTATGTATCAGTATTCAAGTGAGATTATAATATACCATTAGCCACAATTGCTAACACAAAATTATTTAAACTATGACTTAAAATGATGTAAAATGATTTCTATGTCGATATACTATATTTTTCTACAATAAATGAAAATTATGAAGCTTTCTTGTGTGAGCTGTTGCTCCTGAAACAGAACATGCTTAAAATATTTTTGGTTCTTTCATAATAACAGACAATTAATACCTTCAAGAATGTTTTTCAATAATCTGGAGGCAGATAATGATGATTTATCACACCTGCAACCAAATCATTCAGAATTATTTCGGATCCCCTTGTTAGTGCCCATAATATTTACATCAAAAGTTTAAAAAAAGTTAATTCAAAATTGTTTCATTTTAAACCTTTTATAAAGCTGGTGGAAAAAAAGTTTCACTGTAACATTTTTATTACAATTTTGAAATTAAAGAGCGAAGGTTGAAAGTGTATATGCCTCTTAAGGAGTTTTAGTAGGTCGGTTCTGGTTAATTAATTGCCTCTGTTACTCAGAAGCCAATGTAAAGAGAAAATACTCAACCGTATGTTCAAGACAGTGTTTCCCAAAGTTTCTTCCTAAGAACACTCATAAGACTCTAGACTCAGATGGCCTATACTCAGATAGTGGTTTTTATGCATCCCAACTCTGTGACTTTGGAGGAGACACTTCACCTCTCTGAGCGTCAATGTCTTTATATTTAGAGTAGGCAAAATAATACCACTACCTCATAAGGTTGCTTTTAAGTACTGAGCATAGTTACTGGCATATATACACGTACATTAAATTCATAATAAATGTTAGCTCTTATTATTTCCACAGATTTTCATAGGTATTATTTGACAAAGGCTTATATAGTCAAGACAGTATCAATAAAGTATAGGTTAAACAGAATTTATCAAATTACTTTAGTTCAGGGCTCCTTAGCATCTTTAGCATACTACCATTTGGTATGAATATCTGCAGGGGGTTGGAAATAGTAGGAAGGATTTATTTTCAAATATATTTGACTCCAGATTCCCTAAGCATGGAACATTTTGTGGGACTTGTGTTTTGAGAAACAATTTTGGAGGTTGGCATAAATTAATAATGTATTTTCAGCTGGATAAGATCAATGCAATCAATTAAAATAATATTGAATCTAGGAGTTATGCAGAAGTCTATCCAGCAGAGCTAGTTGAGTAGCTCCCCTTTCACAGAAGCATGTGCTAGATGGTTTAGTATGAATGGCCTCAGGAATGTGAAGTGATAACTGCATCCAATAGAACAGATTTTCTATTCTTCATTGATTTTCAAAATTACATTATTATATCCCTGAGGTATTTCTATTTGTATGTATCTTACTTAGGGTTCTTTAAATTTCTTGGTTTGGTGAGTACATTTTTTAATTTAATTTGAAAAGAAGTTAGCTGTTTTCTTTTTTTTTTCCTTTATTTTAATTTATTTATTTCCTTTCCCATCACCACTTATCCCCCCATACCCTCTTCCACCTCCACCCACTTTCCTCCTCCCACAAGCACCATGTTCATGAGTTCTTTCTCTCCTTTTTTTTTCCTTTTTGCTCAATCCCTCCACCTCCAGAATACCCTCCCCAACCCCCCCCCCCCACACACACACCAAATATGTTAGCCTACTTGTTTACTTTGTTCATTAAATTCCACATATAAGTGAAATCATATGTTACTTGTCTTTCTCTAACTGGCTTATTTCACTTAGCATAATGTTCTCCAGGTCCATCCATGTTGTCACAAAGGGTAAATGTTTTGCTCATCCTTTCATTCATTCATTCTTACCTTTCTTTCTAGTACTGCGATTAAACTTAGGATAGAATGCTCACATTTGATGTCCTGCTAATCACTGAGGTTCTCATTATTTTTTATTTCATCATTCTTTCCCTCTGTATTTCATTTAGGATAGTTTTTAGTGTTCACTGGTCATTTATTTCTAATGTCTACTCAGCATTTTTAATTTGAAAATATCATTTTTTAGTTTTTGAATTTTCATTTCTTTATCAAAACATCTATTTTGATATTTCCTAATGGCTCTTATAATGTTCATGGTCTTTTGAAAAATAGAAACCTGTCCCAGTGGCTCAGTTTGTTGCAGTGTCATCCTGTACACCAAAATGTTGTGGGTTGGATTCCTAGCCAGGGCACATACCCAAGTTGTGGGTTTGATTACTGGTCAGGGTGCATACAGAAGGCCACTGATCAATGTTTCTCTCTCACATTGGTGTTTCTCTATCTATCTATCTCCCTTCTTCTCTCTCTAAAATCAATAAACATATCCTTGGGTAGGGATAAAAAATCAACAAGAATATTTATAATACTCATTTTGTATTTATTTTTTATGTAGAAAACCAATTTATTCCATTATAATTACTTATACAATTAGTCATAGAGAATTAGTCATAGGCCTGCTGGTGAAACAGGTCACCCAAAACAGATATGGTATCAAACTAGTGGTCAAGGACTAACTGCTGAAAACAAAACAAAACAAAACAAAACAAACAAAAAACAAACAAACAAGCAAACACAATTGGACAGTGTACCTGTCAAGTGAGAACATATATCTTTACAACTTGGTGGTCCCAAGGCTGTTTTTTTTTTTTTTTTAATTTTATAGAAAGGAAACAAGTAACATTAAAGTAGCTCAAGAATTACACTAATAACCAAAATGTGTGGGGAAAAATAATCAGGCAGTTTTGATTTAACTCACAAAACTGAGAGGAGAGTGGTCTACACAGGAACATGTGCATCCTGGAAATACAACTGTGAAGATTTCAGAGTCAGAATTTATATGACTTCAATCTCCCCTAATTTCTGAATAAAAACAACATCTTGCAGTACTTATACTTCATGGCTCAGAAACCTACCTCACTTTATTCCTCACTCACTTCTAGGCTTTACTTAAACAAGTCTGAAAAACTTGGGGTTATAGGATAAGAAAATGAAATAAAATAACCACACACGATATTCCCTTTTTGGTGGCTACTTTCGATCTTTGTTACTAGAAAATACCTCAAGAAAATTTAAATATAAGTCTGTGGCTTTGCTGAATCAAGTCCCCCAAGTTAATATTTAGAAAACACCCTCAGTTTGGGCTAATAGCATTATTGATGGTAACTATTATAGAGGGATAGCTGACCAAAGCCTGTGTCTCAAAACCAATGCTAAATCAATCTCAGGATTGAGCGAAAAAAAAAGGGAGAGCCTAAAGTCACAAGAAAGGCAGATGTATCTAAGACCACTGTCCTAGATCCATGTGTCCTTGAGGGTCCTCATCATTATAAGTGTTCTCTGCTCTTTGCTGCACTTGCATGATAGTGGCCTCTGACAGAACAATCACCCAAAGTTCATTGGCATTCCAGGAGAAATCAGCTATCTCAGCAGTGTGACCACCACGTAAACAACAACTCCAGTGGCCCATCTTCTGCATCTTCTGGAGATTGTTCCTCTCCAATTTTATTTAAAACCCGTTCGGTCCGTGATCAGTATCTCCGGAAGCCAAAATAGTCTCCTTGGGAGGTGACCACTGAACCTGGAATATTTCATCCTTATGTGGTTAAAAAAAAATACAACTTAAGTTTTAGATTTATCAGATCCCACAAGGCAATGGTCTTATCAGCTGATCCTGGTGGCAAGAATGAACTCACTATACGGACTGAAAGAAAGGCAGTTCACTTCAGCAGTGTGAGCATCAACAGAGTGGCTTGATTTGAAAGTATTGTTTGGTCGAATATCCCAGATCATAAGTTTCTGATCATCAGCAACTGACCCAAACAGAGACTCATGGAGCAGATGCCAGGAAACATCTACTGCTGCATAACCTGTAAAGGTGGTCTTCACATCCACGACTTTTCCTTCCTTTGGTACAGCACTGATGTCCCACAGGCAGGTGCTGTGGTCATCTAAGTGAGTGCCCACTGAAATTTCTTGCATTTCAAGAAAGTCATAGCCTTCCTTCTGTTGTCCACGGAGACACATGTCTGGGTTGCACTCTCCAGAAGGAACTGGTTTAAAAGGCCATTTTGTATAGTCAAAAACAAGAACATCATTGGATGGAGTCTTTGTTGCAATGGTGCAAGATTTCTGGGGCATATAACATGCCCTTTTATTCCTCCTTCATGGTTGATCTTGATTTCTATTTCAACTTTTACACTTATAGAGCCAAAACCTCCAAGTTCTCCTTTCTCACTATTATAGGTTGAAGCATCAAACTGAGCATCATCGTTAGGGAGCTTCACACTGGCTATCACAAGGTGGTTTTGTTTGTCCAAGCTGTGTGTCCCTAGACAAGCTGCTGAATGCTGAAATTTTTCCCTTCTGGTCTGGTTACATCTGGAAGCCACTATGCAGTTAGGCTGGGCCACTCCAGGCATTGGTCTTCAGCAAATAGTGTTCTTTTTCCATAGTTTGTACATTTTATTGACACGTTCTTCCACTGTGTCATCAAAGGTTGCTTCCTTGTTGGCCACAGCAGGCAGGCAAGCCAGGGGGGCCCCAGGGTCTAGCCTTTTAGGAGGAGTGGGGAGGCTGCAATAACTCCCTCTGTGCTCATCACCTCTATTGTTACAATACTAATCTTGAAGCATTTATCTGCTAGTTCCATCAGCTTTATCAACTCTGGTTCTGTTTATATTGGCTATTTTTTTTCTAATTATGGGTCTTTTTTATTTTTTTGCTTTTTATTCTGCCTAGATTATTCTTAAATGTATGTTGGACATTATACATATTACATTATTGAGTGTCTGAATTTGTGTTTTCTTCTAATATTTGGTTAATTTACTTATATAACAGCTTGCTTATTTTCTGAAGCATCTTGCTTATCATTGCTAGAGTAGATCTAAAATAGCCTTTTCTTGGAGGCAGGATTGGACCTATTAACCTAACTGAGATTTCTACTTAATACCTGAGTGATTTTATCTCAAATATGTCCCACCCCTGCATATGCTCCTAGAATTGTTCAGTTCCCAGCTCTCTAGTAGCTGTATCTTCCCTGATCATTTTCCCTTCACTGGTAGCTATTCTTTGACCTTGGGAAGGAGTCACCCTTAATATGCAAAACTTTGTATTTTTCCAAAAGCTTATGGATTTCTAAAGCTCTGTTTCTGCACAGTTTTCTTTCCTTCAGGACCCAGGCCTACATGTTCAACAGTCCTGAACTCTACTTCCTGTCGCCTCAGCTCAGCATGACTAATGTACTTCTGTTTCCCCCCTTCTGTGCCGCAGTCCAAAAAGTGCCTTGAGGTTATTAGCCAGGGTGAGTGTGGGGCTCACCTTTTGTGTGCCCTTTCTCTCGCAGATCACACTCCTGTTCTACCAGTTATTTTGGATTTGATGGAGAGAAGGCCACTCCAGTACCAATTACTCCTCTAAGATAAGAAGAGGTCCAGAATGTGCAAGTTGTAATGCACTATGGTAGTAAACAAATCAGGTCCGCAGGGCCATTCAGTCATAGGTTTCTGGGTTACTATCATTTAAATAAAGCATTCTCTTTGTAATTCAGGAAAATGATCATCGCTGCAGCTCCAAAAGTCTTGAGAAGTCGAAGCAATTTAGTAAAGAATAGGGAGGGAATACTTGGTAGTACAAGCAGCTGGCATTTTGGTTGGGAGACTCAAGGGGACAGCAAGATTCCAACTATGATAATGAAGATGATGAGAGTAGCCTAGGTTTCCAAGGACAAACAAGTGTGTAGACCCATAACCTGGAACAGGAAAAAAGACTAGAGTTTATGTTGGACTGGTTTCACCAAGGGTAGTTAGCTAAAAATTTAGGCTCTGGAGCTAGTTTTTACTGTAAAAATGCAAAAGGGATGGAGGGAATGCTGATCCAGGGAGTAACAGCAGAGCAAGTGGCTAAATTTGGTGACATCTTGAAATGGATTATGAGTGAGACCAAAGAGAGAGGCAGTTTCAGAGCCCAATCTGATCAAAATGCATCACCCCTTCCTAATTGGAAACCCTTTAGTCTGGGATTGCATCAGAGTAAAATCTTTATGCCAAAGCATCAAACAGTACATCTGGGGCAGACAGGAAATGTGGGCTGAGGATCACCCGTCCCTGCAAGCCAGCAAAGCTTTAGGGGGAACTTTTTTAGAACACTTTCTGCATGTGATTTAATCCACTTAGTAATTTAGGCTGTGGATTATTTATTTTAAGAATCCAGTTAGTTAAATAGCATTAAGAACTTCCTAATATCATCAAATGACCCTACAAAATACAATCTGTACATACAGCACATGTAATTGTATGATACAAAGTAAAATTAAAAGGCCCTACTAGAAATAAAATAGGCAGTAACAAAGTGAAGATAGCAGAGGGAAATGTATGAGGGTACTTGAACTCTTGATCATTAAGCAAGGTATCTATTGATATTTAATTTTTTTAAATTATTGATTGATTTGAGAAAGAGAGAGAGAGAGAGAGAGAGAGAGAGAGAGAGAGAGAGAGAGAGAGAAAGAGAAACATGGATTTGTTTTTCCACTTATTTGTGTATTCATTGGTTAATTCTTGTATGGACCCTGACCTGGAATTGAACCCTCAACCTTGGAATATCCAGACAGCACTCTAACCAACTGAGCTACCCAGCCAGGGTCGATATTTATTAATGTTTGAAAAAACCCGTTTCAGGTAACTGCATCCACTGACCTCTTTTTTTTTCTTCTTCCTATTATAAAATGTCAACCCAGAGGCAGCCAAAATAACTGAGCAAATAATGAAGATGACAGTGGGAATTACCCCGGTGTGCTGTTAAGATAACATGTACTCAGAAATACCTAGGACACAGCAATTTTCATGCCAGCTATCCCAATTGAACTTAGTAAATTCTCAACAACTGCACTGACATAGCATCTGGCATTTATAATGGAGTTTTCTTATTTTAAAGCACCATTATTCATGGAACGCATACAAACGAACTCCATAATAATTCTGCACTGCTGAGTCCCAGGCTATACCTGCCACAAGATTAGTATGCTGAGTTTAGGATAATGAACTTAAAACTATGACTTGCCCTTTAATTAGAGAACTTTAGGCTGAGTTCCAGGCTGCTTTCCATTTCCCCTTAAGATAAGATACCTATTTTAAAAGAGACCTTTCCACTAGTATATGACCACTAATTGAACTTCCAGTAGTGTTGTGCAAAGATATCTGGAATTTGGAGTCAGGGAGCCTCAATAAATCCAGCTGTGAAGGAGAGGTTTATTAAGCAAGATGGTGAGATCAGTCATCTTTGAGCAATTAAACATTTTAAGTGATGTTTGTTGAGACAAGATATACTAGAATTTTGTTCACAGCTGGAATTATTGAGGCTACTTGACTCCAAATTCCAGAGATCTTTGTACAACACTATTGTGAAGTTGTACCTAGATGACTATAAATATGTAGTTTAGTGGGGACTGGGAGAGAGTGGAAAAGCAAGCTTGTACACAAATTGCAATATAATAAAATCTGTCCTGTCCTAGCTGGCTTGGCTCAGTGGATAGAGCATTGGGCTGTGTACTGAAGGTTCCCAGGTTTGATTCCAGTCAAGGGCACATGCCCAGGTTGCAGGCTCGATCCCCAGTAGGGGGCATGCAGGAGGCAGCCAATCAATGATTCTCTCTCATCATTGATGTTTCTATCTCTCTCTTCCTCTCCCTCTCTGAAACCAATAAAAAATATATTTTAAAAAAATCTGCCCATACCTCGATATTGCAAGTCAGTCTTTGGACTGTGTATCCTAGAACTGTAGACCTAAGAGATACTTTCAGAGCCACACACACACTGACTGAGCATTTGGTGGATACCCTGTTTCTGCCCAATGAGAATAAAATTTTTGAGGCCTATTTCCAAATATAAAGGAGAGGGAATTAAATTTCTTCCATATGGCATTGGACAAGAAGATAAAATTAAGACAAATGGAAGGAAACACATCAAGATTTTGTTCCATTTAACTGCTCCAACAATTAAAACTCTACCAGTATCATGGGCTGATCCAGGTAGTACTAAATATTTTTATCCCAAGAGAAGGAAAAAGCAGAGGATGGAATTGCACTTTCCAAAAATATTTTTGAGCCTGGCTGGTGTGGCTCAGTGGTTGAGCATCAACTCATGAACCAAGAGGTCACTAGTTCAAATTCCTTGTTGTGGGCTCGATCCCCAATAGGGGGCGTGTAGGAGGCAGCCTATCAATGTTTCTCTCTCATAGATGTTGCTATCTCTCTGCCCCTCTCCCTTCCTCTCTCTCTCTAAAAATAAATAAAAATACATTTTCAAAAATATTTTTGAGGAGAGTCAGGCATCCAATTGTAAATTGAATTAGATGACCTTCTAAATCCTTCCCAATGCAAAGATTCTGTTTTAATTTGTATATCATCAGTCTATTGGAATCATCTAATGGTTAAAAATGCATTCTATGCCAATAACTGGAAACAAAAAGAAAAATATTTCACATCTAGTATTAAAACATAGTGGCTGACCCCTACCATATTATCTATGCTTGTCATACACACACACAAATCAGGTGCCTGGCTCAGCTGCTTGGCTTATCCAACTATTTGCAGGATGATGGGTTGCTCTGATCACCATGTAATATCAATTGTTTCTTTGTTGTTTACTCCAGTGATTGCTCCAAGATACACAGTGGAACTGGCCTGTGGTTTTGGAGTCACAGTCCTGCTCGTGGTGATTCTCATTGTTGTTTACCATGTTTACTGGCTGGAGATGGTCCTATTTTACCGAGCCCATTTTGGAACAGATGAAACCATTTTAGGTGAGTAATGGGAGTTTGATGTAAATCTCTTCTAGTGTCATCTTTACAAAACATGTTGGCTCGATAATATCTAGATTTTCCTAGAACATTAAATCAGACTACCTTTTGTTTCAGCCCTTAGTACTTTTTCTAAAACATATTATTAGTTTTTCAATATGGAACATAGTCTAGATTGGCACTGTCCACATAGAACTATAATTCAAGTCACAAATGTTATTGAAATTTTTTAGTTGTCATATTAGGAAAAGGAAAGTGAAGATTTTAATAATGTATCTTTTTAACTTAAGGTGTTCAAAATATTAACATTTTAGCTTGTAATTAATATTAAGTTAATAGAGATATTTTAGGTACTAAAAATCTTCAAACTTCAGTATGTATTGAATCTTACCCTTACAGTGTATCTCAGTTCAGACCAGCTTCATTTCAAGTGCTCAATATCTGCTTTGGTTGTGGCTACTGTCCTGGGTAGTGCAGGTCCACACTCTGTACTCAGGGCTGATTCATGCACCAGAAGCATCAGAATCACATGGGAAGTTATTGAAAGCAGTGTCTTAAACCAAACCCTTACTCTGAATTAGAATCTATATTTTAACAATATTCCTAAGTTGTTCATGTACTCGTTGAAGCTCAAGCAGTACTGTTCTAATGTGTAATTTCCTGGTGACAGTAGGTTTGTGGCGGGGTCACAGATCCTAATATTTTTAATGAGAGATGATTTTTATAATTAGGTAACATTGGGAAAGGTTGGTTTATTGAATCTACATATATTTTTAATTACAGTTATTTTCTGGTATAATTAGACCATTTCTAAAAGGTTTGCTGAATTTATAATCCTAACATATTAGTGAGTGACATATTCTGCATGGTATTAATTGCCAGCACCTATGATTGACTATTTACTTCCTGGTTCTGTTAATTCATAATTGAATGAGCCAAGCTTCATTGATTGTCTGCCATAGAAACTGAACTCAGTAAGAGGAGAGTAGAAGACACATCAGATGAAACTTGTAATTACACCTTAAAATAGCCATTTTACCTGAAAAATCACACTGAAATTTGTCAGATAATTCGTACTTGTAAAAAATGTGAATGTCTAATTTGAAAAAGTTTGATTTAAGAAAACTTTCCTAATTTTTATTGGATCCATGTTCTTTTTTCTAGATGGGAAGGAATATGATATTTATGTATCCTATGCAAGGAATGCTGAAGAAGAAGAATTTGTATTGCTGACCCTCCGTGGAGTTTTGGAGAATGAATTTGGATATAAGCTGTGCATCTTTGACAGAGACAGTCTGCCTGGGGGAAGTAGGTATTCAGATGAGTACAAGTGATGCTACCCTGCAAGGCAAAGGGGATCATTAGCTGTAGAGTATGGGTGAGAATTTTGACGCTATGAACTCTATGTTGGCAGTTTGGACTTTTAATGTCCAATCGTGTCATACAATAGACAGAGAATCTATAGGAATAAACTTCATTGTAAGGTATAGACTATTCAAGTGCAGTTTGTGGTATACAATATTCCCTCTTCTAAGTTTTAAAAACTTAATTTCAGAAAAAAGTTTGGATGCACAGTGGATTAGAGCTCTATAAAATGTCATAGACTTAAACATCCTTTTTACTCACATTTAGATTTTTAGAAGGTTTAGCTAATCTGCATTAAATTTTCCCAGAATTTTTCTACAAAGATTGAGTTTAAACAATTTTACAAAGACTGAGGTTTACCCAATTTTACAAAAAATGAGTTGCAGAATAGAGTGCATGGAATTTTTCTTTATATTTCTCACTGATAATAATTAGAATATTTCCCTTTGGCATTTGCTAATTTCCCTTTCCTCACTTTTGTTTTCCAGCAAATCAAAGCCACTCAAATTCTCCTTTTCCTTAGGTCAGTTTCTTCCTTTCCACCAGTGTACATGTTTCAGAGATAGTTTAAAATTTTACAAAAGTCTGTTGTATTCTAGTAGGTTAAAAAGAAAGAAACTTCAATTGCTGAATGTTTTAACATAAAAGTAAGTCTCTAATTTTCAGGTCCACCCAGTAACATATAAGGTGATGGTTCATTTGAGTCTGTTTTATAAATATATAATAGCATCCCACTATTAATCTTTGTACTGTTAAAATGTATGCAATGTCTCTAACCTTCAGCACAACAAACTAATTTTCTACCCCTAAAATACTGTTTACATTAATCACTAATCACCTCACATGTTGTTTTTTTTAAATGTCATGTGACTAATTGTGAATAGCCTCAATTTAAGCCTCCTACAGAATACACTGGTTTATTCTCATGTCGAACTAGCTGGATCACTTATCTCCCCAGTCATCATCCAGAAGCCCATCTTGCTTGTGTTCTGCAGTGGACATCTCTTTTCGTATAATTTTGCCAGGAAATCAGGGCTTGATTATATAGTTACAGGATAAATTCCACTCATTTTAAGACTTAAATTTCTAAATCATTTACTCATTCACTTGTTCATTTATACAGCTGTTCAACAAGTATTGATCTATTGTGTAAAAAAATTATATAAAGATTCACACTATAACACCAGTGCAAGACCCTCCAATAGGGGTTGATAATTCTTTGAAGAATTCAAGTTCTACATAATTACTCTTACATCCTGCTTTGATGGTTGATCCTTGTGATCATTCATGTTTTCCCTGCTCTTCTTATTGAGACCTCTTTGCCTGTGGGTCTCTTTCCATGCCTACACATGGTCAGCCTCCAGCAACACTACTTGGAGTAGACAATTTCTTATTCCTGGATTCACCTCCAGGCTGCCCATGCTATTTTAATAGAAAGTTTTCCCCCACTGCCTCTTTTTCTATGAAGATTAAGGAATAAAATGATGGCTTAGGAAAGTATGGTAAGTCGTGAAATAGTTTTCCACAACACTAGTGCCTTCCCTGGAGTTGACTCCTATCTAAACCCCAGGTAAAGAGTTATACCGTCCTTGGTAAGCAAGCTCAAGATGGATTATCCCCAAGAATTTAGTGGCAGGAACTACTCAAAGCCCCTGACAACAAAATAAAATTAAAGGTGCATTTACATTTTCTTGCTCTCCCTTCTTTTCTGACCTGAAGAGAGCATTTGCCTGATAGTGAAGGCAGACGGATCAGCCAGCAGCTGCTGAAACACATGGCTTCCTCGTAATGATAGGAGTTTAAGCAGAAAAATCCAGGGATTAATTTAGCCCCTGAGCAGAGAGTAGAATAGAAAGCTGAGCTGAGGATGTGATGCCAGCCAAAATGCCATTTCATTGGCTAGATGTTTTTTAAAGTTCTTATTCGAATGACATTCTAGTTGGGGCGTGTTTGGTAATAGAGGACTTTTTTTTTTAAAAAAAAAAAAAAAAGAAGATTCTTGCTCTTGCTGTTCTGTATCTGTGAAAATGAATTTCTATGATTTTTTAGTCTTTGGTATATATATTAATAAATGCTCATGTGCCCTGGGGAGTTGACACATGGGTATTTGTGGGGAGAAGGCTTAGGATCTGCTTTGGATGGGACCCAACATGCCACGTGGTTTGAAAAAAATTTATTTCAGTACCACACTTATATTCCTTGATGTCCCAATTCACGCTTTTAAAGACCAATGTCCTGGAAGCATGTTTGGCTTCAGTCCTGTGTGGAATTCTTTTTGGGTTGGAATGTGCATATAGTTTCTATTCTTCCTGAGGAGAGTGGCATTTAGTGAGAAGTGTGAAAGGATCTAAGGATGAGGTTGTTCAAAGTGTTCTTGGTCAGAAGTTTCACCTCAACTCTCAGGCTGATGCCCTAAGTTTCCAACACTTGCTCCTCAATCCCCATGCTTTTTGGGGAGTTCTTGGCCAACACTAATCCCCATGGTGTTTTCTTTCCCAGTTGTCACAGATGAGACCTTGAGCTTCATTCAGAAAAGCAGACGCCTCCTGGTTGTCCTAAGCCCCAACTACGTGCTCCAGGGAACCCAAGCCCTTCTGGAGCTCAAGGCTGGCCTAGAAAACATGGCCTCTCGGGGAAACATCAACGTCATTTTAGTACAGTACAAAGCTGTAAAGGAGACGAAGGTGAAAGAGCTGAAGAGGGCTAAGACGGTGCTCACGGTCATTAAATGGAAAGGGGAAAAATCCAAGTATCCACAGGGCAGGTTCTGGAAGCAGCTGCAGGTGGCCATGCCAGTGAAGAAAAGTTCCAGGTGGTCTAGAAGTGGAGAGCAGGGTCTCTCCTACTCATCTTTGAAAAATGTATGAAAGGGACAATGAAAGGGGTAAACAGAGCCCTGGGTACCCCAGGAAGGAAGAAACCTTCTTGATACCCAATGTATTGTTTCATGGACAGAAAACAATTCTATGGAAGCCTCCCCATAGGGTTAAATTCAGGGTGACTGGTTGTGTTTCCTCAGGCAATACTAAGATTTAGAATGATCATGCCACCAGTCTGTTACCAGTGTTCAATGTCACTATGTTCTTTGCAGGTAAAGACTTGGATGATGTGAATTTTTTCTTCTGCATCTTCTCTATTACTGTTCTTACATGATCTCTCTCTCTCTCTCTCTCTCTCTCTCTCTCTCTCTCTCTCTCTCTCTCTCTCTCTCTCGTTAACATTATAGGGCTGCCTTTGCCTATGGTTTGAAAGACCCCGTGAAGATAAGTCATCTGTTAATAGGGTCATTATGAGTTTCCAAGTATAGTTTTCTTCTTCTTTTATTATTACTCATCTATTAAAAAGATAATCAGGGTCTGAATATACTTTAGCTGGATAAGGAGCTCTTTTGCTCATTCTGCTGTACCACAAGCCATCACAGTAAGACTGACACCCCCTTGGACAATTCAAAGCAGTATTACTAAAAGTTATTCTTATAATAATTGATTTAAAGATTCTTATAATTGATTTATAATTGCCTGCATTTTCTCCTATTATATCCCCATGTGCCTCTATCTCAGGTAAATGATGGCATATTTTTCAACTTGAAAAATAGAATTTTTTATTGTAGTAAACTTCTGACTATCTGTAGGTCAGCCCATGTTTATCCTTCCCTCTCTATTGTAACTTGCTTATGTCGGCCACTCGGAGTTTACAAGTGGCTCCACACTTGGTTCAGTTTGATAGGAAGTTTATCCTAATGGTGCTAATAGAGTGAGATAATGGCAAATTTCTCTGAGGGTATTTTCTGGCTTGTAATAAAAGAGCAGAGCAGAGTGTTTGGTCATTTGTCTTTTAATCTCAGCCTTATTAATGTGAATATTAGGAAAGTGATTTCTCTTCGCTTGTTTCTCTCTTCTCATTTTAAAGTGTGAAAGTTAAACTCAGTGACCTCGAGAGCTGCTTTTAGCATTAATACTCTAAAAGGATTAACTGAACCCTTAGTATTGTCCCTATTTTATTTACTCCAAACAAGTCAGCTGAAAGATCACTGTCAATGTAACTTGTCTTAGCTTGTTTTTTAGTAAAGTTTCACTGTTCTTAAGACTTGGAAAAGTAAAAACTTAGTCTAGAGTTTACAGAGTGAAATATAAGTACATATACATGTGTATATACTTATATATACACACAAAATTATATACATATGTGTATCTAAATTGCATATAGATACACATGAATTATATACGTATATATACACATATATACATACATGAATTATGTTTGCATATATGCATACATATATACAATGTACACATATATATACATATATATGCATATTACTTTAGTCATTAGCACAGTACTACAAGCCACTGGAACTCTTGTCCAAACTTTAAATTGTTTTTACTGTAATGCTTTTGTGTTAGTGTTTTCTACACATTAACATTATTTGTGATTTCACAGATCATAGTGGTAGCTGTTGTTAGTTCTTGCCTTTCCTAAATTAGCTTGAATACTTTACTCCTGCTAGAGCTTATCTGGGTTCAGTGGAATCTGTTGTGCACAGATCTTCCATGGTCACGCTAAGCAGTAGCCAATCATCTGGCATTATTTGATCATCTACTATGTTTGAGGCACATATACTTAACAACTAAGCTATGTGAATCTCAGTGCTCAACTACTGGAGAAATAAATCTCTATTTGGACTATTGAGTAATAAAAAAGAAAAGAAAAAGCCTATAAGTGAGCCTGAGTATCCTATGAAACACCATTATTCATAATTTAAGGAAATCCTCATTCAGTAGTATGAATGTTGTTAAGCAATTCCAAAACTATCTTTTTACAGTTAAAAGCCCTTCAGCAGATTTCTTTATAGAGGAGTTATTGATTATTTTAGTAATAAAAGCATGACTATAAAACTGTTCTAGAAGTCATTCTGGAACTTAACATTTTTAGCCTTATTAATGCTTTTCCTTGCTACAAACCACAATTACTCCTCCTATCAATCCTTCATTCACAAGACCAGGAGAGACTTACTCCAGATAAGCTTTGTATTTCAAATTCTTGCATTAGCTTTAGGTAAATGGGGGGGGGGGGTGTCCCATCACCAAGGGTCCATTCTCTTGCCAATACTGCATTCTTTTTGCACGTTTGAATTTAATATTTATCCTAAAGGCTGTTCTGTGCCCCTAGGAATATCTTGACATTTTCCCCCTATTTATATTCTTGTCTTTGGTACTGAGCTTTTCTAAATGCTAAAATCAAAAGCATCTCAAATTTCTATGATGTGTCTCATTCTAAGATAATTTTTCAAGCTTTTTGTTTGTTTTTTTATGTCCCAGAAGATGCCTAATACTGAATATTTGAAGGAGATGGGGAAACATAATTTAGAAAGCAGGGAGAATCTCTTTCTCATGTTAAAGACAAAACAAAAGAACATGTCTCTAAGGTTAAAAAAAAAAAAACCTTAATGGTTTCAGATATGGGATATAAAGACCTTCTGCACCCAAGTTAACAAAGGACCATGATATAGAATGTCTAATTACACAATAATATAAAATGTATTTAATTCTCTTCTGTATTATAACTTAGATGATTCTCCAGGATTCTAATAAACAAGCACTCCATTGTGTTGGGGAACAAAAGCATCACTCCACTTGTTAATTATATGTTTTCTTTCCATAGGTTTTAATATTTAAGATTGTCTTTTTATTTTATTCATAAACTTTTGTATTTTCCATTTTTTTATTTGATTTGTAAATTTGTTTATTTTAAAAATAAACCATTTATTTTCAGCTTTGAATTTTATTTTGTGCATGTGTTTTATGTCTTTATTTTCATGTTTGGGCATAATAAATGAGAATAAAAATAATGATACATGTAAAAAATATAAATTGTACTAATTAGGTTTCTCTTTTGAGAGAAATCTGAAAAAAATGGGAACTTCATCTCAAGAAATTTTTTTTACATGCGAGTAAAGGAGTTACTTAAGTAAAATGCATGACTCTAACATTCTAGGTGTGTGTGTGTGTGTGTGTGTGTGTGTGTGTGTGTGTGTTTAGATAGCCAGAGAGACAGGGAGAAAGAGGCAAGAGAGGGAGAGACAGGAGGGAGAGAGAAGTTCTTTCAAAACAAAAACACAGTCTGTTATTTTTTGTTCAACTTGGAACTTGGGTAGTTTATAGAAATATCTTACATTTTATTGCAACCCCAGGGCAGTTGTTTTGAAATGAAATAAGTTAATTAATATTATGCTCTTAGTTAATAGAATATAATTTGCAGGAATGAATCAAAAATTCATTTATATCACATTTCAAGTAAATCAGATAAATATTTGGAAATGATTTTCTTCTGAGTTAATAATATTAAATTCATAAAGGCAAGGAAGCTTTCTTGCTTAAAATTGTTTTCCTATTCACTTATTCTAAGGATATTTATTGAGTTCTTATAACTAAACTGGTTAGATGAGTAAAAATTTTCCTACTGAAAATATTTTCACTTTCAAGGCTATCTCCAAAGAGTAGACTTAGGATCAATGGATGGGGATTATATGGAAACAGACTTCTCAATTAGGAAATGACTTAACAGCAGACTTGAACAATAATGTATTTCATTATCTTTGGAGATGCTGGAGCCCCATTACTAGAGGTGTACAAGCAGAGACTTAATGAATCATATTAAGATTTTGCAAATGGGCTTTCCTCATTAGATAAGTGATGACGAGTCTGAAGTTTCTTCCAACCCTGGACATACCAAATGACCTCCTGGAACATAGTGGTGACTATTTAGTTTCAATAACAACAGTGTCTGTATCAGTAATTTGGTTATTGTGGTTACCTAGCTATTCCTGACCTTGTTAAAAACACTCAAGTATTTTCTTCAGTTATTCACTGATGTCACTAGGTCTTTGACACAAGCAAAGTCACAATATGATACTATTCAACAACTAGCCTGTCTTATTTCTCTATTTCTACCCAAGAGATAAAAAGTATTTTTAACAATGGTCTAGGTCACAGTGGTCTGCAAACTCATTAGTCAACAGAGCCAAATATCAACAGTACAACGATTGAAATTTCTTTTCAGAGCCAAATTTTTTAAACTTAAACTATATACGTAGGTACATTGTTATTAGCTTAATTAGGGAACTCCTAAGGCTTAGGAAGAGTCACACTCAAGGGGCCAAAGAGCCGCATGTGGCTCGAGAGCCACAGTTTGCCGACCACGGGTCTAGGAGAGTAAGTGGTTCAATAACATTCTTTATCCGCATGTATTTTGAACTGAAAATAAAGAATTTTTAAAATTTATAATTCATAAATTCACATACTAAGATGATTGTTTTTGCTAGACATTTACCTTTAGGTATCTCTAATTTGTTTAACAACCTTCTAAATTTGATCTTACTTTATATAGTTTATAGATGGATAAATTCATACTTAAAGATATTAAGATTAAAAACAGATAATTGGAGAGATCAATATTTAAATTCAGATCTATCTTCCAAATTAGGTGGCCCCCCATATTTCATTACACTTCAAGTTTTAATAAAGAGAGAGAGAGAGAGAGAGAGAGAGAGAGAGAGAGAGAGAGAAGCTTCTTACTGTTTCATACACCAATAACCCTAGCCAAAGAACAAAATTGCAGGCCTAGTTTAATTGAAGGGGAATTTCAGAGAGGCTATAAATTTTAACAGCAGGAATCTTCTTCCTTGAAGAATTTTAGTCCAGAAAAATGATTTGAAAACCAATTTACTATCACACAAAAAGCCAATCTCATCACCCTACAGCCACACCTCATTTTTTTGAGCCAAACAGCATAAAGACCTAATTTGCAACTTCCTCTCCAATAATCTTCAGCATTAAAATCAAATTAATTTGCATCCTCAGATGGGAAATATTGACAATCTGTAAGACTTTAAAATATGCCATAAAGGATATAGCTTCTTTCAGAGTACCTTGTGAAGACCCCTAGGTACAGATACCCCACCCCACCTGAGAAGCATCTCCTACATCCACTCATCAAAGTCTGGAATTTAACGTATCTATTTACGTATCTATTTCTTTAGCATTTCCCTCTTTCAAATGGAAACCCCACACTTTTCAGGTAATATTAATAATTTTTTTAAAATCCACATTCTCTCTTTTTTAGAGGATCTATGATACTGTTTTGTTTTCAACAGTTGGATTCCCAGGGGCTACTTTGAAGTGTAAAACACACACACACACACACACACACACACACACACACACACACACACATCACAAGTTCTTTGTGATGAAAAACTATCCATTTTGTTTTAAGGGTATATCGTATTTATCAAGAGACGGAAGAAGCAGTAGACATCCTATTCTCACAGTCTCAGGTTTATGAAAGGTGGGCTACATAAGATTCTGAGCAGAACTCGACAGAACAAAAGGATTTACACAACATGCTTGCACGTGCACATGGCCTTTGAAGATAAGTGATAGATTTTTCTCACAAGATTGAAACAAGAATTCTCAAAACACTGCTCTCTTTATAAATCCAGTTCAAAGTTCTTAAAATCGCTCTTCCAATTTCCCTTCAAAATCAAGTTAAATTCACTAATTGAAAAGAACTAATCTGGTAAGGAACATAGTTCCTTCATTCCCATCAAACTCATCATGACCAATTTCACTGCAAACTTTCAGTTTGTCCTCACAAGCTAAAATGTCTCTCCATGACTATTTCACTACTGGCCCCTAAAGTATATGTACTCAACCTCATAGTATGTCTGTAGTACCTGTTTTCAGAGTTTCAATGGCTGTGATTTATACATTTGGAATTCTTTACCTTCAGAAAATAACATTGTTTAAGCTCTTAAATCTAACAGTTAAGCACTGCTTTTATCTCAAGAACTTTCCTATTGGGATCTGTTCAAATCCACCTCAGTAACTGTTAGAATTGAATGCTTTGCCAGAAGTCTTAATTAACTGACTGATTCTTACCTATTTTAAATGCTCTTGCCCATTTAAGTTATTGTTAAACCACACACACACCCACACACACACAAATAAATTTTAAAAAAGGAATTTGGGTTGACAACAAGGTCAGTACTATAAACTCTCTGATGTTGTATCCAAAAAATATTAAGTATCGAGATATATAACTGTGTGGATCTTACAAGATGGTAAATCCCTTTGCTCTTTAAGGATCAGACTGTGTCTGGAGCATTGTGCTCAGTCCTGTTCAAGATACTATTCTTAAGAAACACATACATAAACTGAATATTATACACAGGCAAATGCTAAAAGTAGGGAACAGACTTGATACCATGTCAAATGAGTAATAAGGTAAAAATCCTGAAGTTATTTAACCTAGATATGAGAATAAAATACAGTGAGATCACAATAGTTGCAATATTTCAAATATTTAAGGATGTTGATCTAGTGCCACCAGATAAAAGTGATAGAGAAGAATATTTCAAACCAGGAAATATTTTACATACAGAGCTGAAATGAATTGCTAGTTTCAGAAGTGGTTAATTTCTCATCTTTGAAGATTTATTCGTTGCCTGTCCTTTGTAGGAGAGACAATGATGAGCTGAAATCTGTATATGTTTTCACTAGGCATTGTCCTATCCTTCCATTTTCCTGTAGATACGGTGGAAGCAGTCTTTGACTTCATTCAGAGGAGCCGAAGGATGATTGTTGTCCTGAGCCCAGACTATGTGACAGAAAAGAGCATCAGCATGCTGGAATTTAAACTGGGTGTCATGTGCCAGAACTCCATTGCCACCAAGCTCATTGTGGTTGAGTATCGTCCCCTTGAGCATCCACACCCAGGCATCCTACAGCTGAAGGAGTCTGTGTCTTTTGTGAGCTGGAAAGGAGAAAAATCCAAACATTCCAGCTCTAAATTCTGGAAGGCATTGCGGTTAGCTCTTCCCCTGAGAAGTCTGAGTGCCAGCTCTGGCTGGAATGAGAGCTGTTCTTCTCAGTCTGACATCAGTCTGGACCATGTTCAAAGGCGGAGAAGTCGTTTGAAAGAGCCCCCAGAACTCCAGAGCTCAGGGAGGGCTTCAGGTGCCTCTCCTGCCTCGGGCACAATGTCTAAACACAGAGGAAAACCTTCTGCAGCCTGTCGCTGCTGTGTCACCTACTGTGAAGGAGAGAGTCAACTTAGGAGCAAGAGCCGGGCAGAGATCCACACACAGCCACAATGGGAGACACACCTCTGTAAGCCTGCTCCCCAAGAGTCAGAAACTCAATGGATACAAAATGGTACCAGATTGGAAACCCCTGTTCCCCAGATCTCAGCCCTTGCTCTTCACCATTTCACGGATTTGTCTAATAACAATGACTTTTATATCTTATAATTACTATGTGGTGGGTGGTAGCTGTTGCCTCTACCAGCTCTTTTTGTATCATGAAACCATGGGAATAATTGACATTTTTATCAATTAATGGACAAGCAGATTGTCTTCCCCCTTTATTGATTTTATAAACTATTTATTTCTAGGAGACAAAAGACCTGAAGAACCTGCATCCAGAATTATTGCCTCTAATGG